CCAAACTTGCCACAAAGTATCCTTGGGTGAAGGGGATTCAAGTTTGTTCAAATAAAGGGCCACGCCCTAATTCAAGGGGAGATAATTGGGAATTAATGAAAATTTGGTGGCATATTTTTAAAATCTTCTTCTCAAGAACCACTGTGCCAGGAAAGATGAAACTTATGGGGAAACATCCTCAGGTAGTGTAGATTCAAGTTTGTTCAAATCATGACCCCGGGGGTTGGGAGGGGCCAAAATGGCCGACCAAAGTTTTACATAGAAATATGTAGGAAAATTCTTTAAAAATCTTCTTCTCAAGAGTGACAAAGCCATCATTCATCATATTTATATGGAAGCATGTTCAGGTAAAGTAGATTCAATTTTGTTCAAATCATGACCCCCGGGGGTAGGGCGTGGTCAAAAAGGCCGACCAAAGTTTTACATAGAAACATATAGGAAAATTCTTTAAAAATCTTCTTCTCAAGAATGACAAAGCCATCATTATTCATATTTTTTTGGAAGCATGCTCAGGTAGTGTAGATTCAAGTTTGTTCAAATCATGACCCCCGGGGTAGGGCGGGGCCAAAATGGCCGACCAAAGTTTTACATAAAAATATATAGGAAAATTCTTTAAAAATCTTCTTCTCAAGAATGATAAAGCCATAATTCATCATACTTATATGGAAGCATGCTCAGGTAGTGAAGATTCAAGTTTGTTCAAATCATGACCACCAGGGGTAGGGCGGGGCCAAAATGGCCGACCAAAGTTTTACAAAGACATGTATAGGAAAATTCTTTAAAAATCCTCTTCTCAAGAATGACAAAGCCATAATTCATCATATTTATATGGAAGCATGCTCAAGTAGTGTAGATTCAAATTTGTTCAAATCATGACTCCCAGGGGTAGGGCGGGGCCAAAATGGCCGACCAAAGTTTTTAAAGAAATATATAGGAAAATTCTTTAAAAATCATTTTCTAAAAATAACAAATCCATGATTGGTCATGGGACTACTTTTGGATTTAAACTTTACAATAAATAGCCATTTTCTACTTTTTCCTACCCATAGTGCTCAGGTGAGCGATGTGGCCCATGGGCCTGTTGTTTGCAATATATAATATATAGTGACAAAAAAAACCCTTTAATCGTACACAATTAATCATTGAAAGTAAGTTACTTACGAGGGCTCTTCGGAAATTATTGAGACATTGTGTATATTTTTCTTTCTAATGAACGTCTTTCGGTTAAATTTTAGTAACGAAAGAAGAAATTTTGGGACAAAATAAGAGAGAAAATTTTCAGTACATAAATATAAATACACTGTATATAAGAAAATGTCTATCTCTCATTTGCATATATAATAAATCTGAAAATTTGTACAATTCACACAACTTCTTAGAATATTAGAAGGAATCAGACGGGTTTCAAAATTAGAAGGTAGGCATTTCCGAGAAAAAAAATCAGCTAGGGTTAATCCACCGGATACAGTGATCTTCTAGTACTATTAATATTGAAATAGTATTCCATATGAATTACAAGTGATCAAAGTTCTACAAAAGAATATAAGATAAATGTAAAAGAAAAATAACATGGAAAATCTACATATTTAAGCTATAATTATAAGGGAGCATGCACCCTTAAGTAGTGTTTAAGTTTAAAAAAAAAACTACCAGTCCCTCTCTTTCCCCTGATCACTTTATATTTCACGTTAATCATGACAGATATCTCCTTTTTCAGAGCCTAAGTACTAAGGTAAGCGATGTGGCCAACAGTTGTCATGTTTAAGTTCTAAGGACAGATCACTAAAGATACCTCCACTGAAAAAATAAAACTAAGTAAATACGATGAGTATGCAATATGCGATGTAATAAAAGTAGCCAGAAGTCCTTAACCGGGCCGTAAGAAAGGAGTTTTCCTCCTTGCTGAAAAAATATCATTCTATTTTTTTGTATTGTATGCAAAAAAAGCAACCCAACATTCTACATTTATTATTGGATATTTATCCAATTTTTTTTACATTTACATCCAATTTGGAATTAAAAGTCACGCGTACAGACTAGGCATTCCCCAGTATGAGGGAGTGTCCTATGATAAAATGATGTTTAGGATGTTCATTTATCATTATCGCATTATGTGATGAGCTTATACCATTTTATTACAGACCTTCAAATCATTAAAGGTGAAACAAGTGCCATGGAGGAGTGAGCATCCTCTGCCGACCAATCACGTCTGCCGTGTGCTCCTTGTCATGATCGGGAAATAACGGGAAAATCCGTCATCAAATCAGTGTTTTAATGGTCTTACAATTAGTATGGAATCGTTGACCAGTCAGCATTTGACTCAATGATCAATTGCATTTGCTTACAAAGTCAATGTATCGACCATAGATCTTACGAAATGATGACTTTATACGAGAGCCAAATTATTTCATTTCAGAGATCAGAAGAGCTTATGCGATAGTAATGCGTCCGTCGTCCGTCCGCCTATCTAGCTGTCCGTCTGTCTTTCTGTCTGTAAAAAAAATTTCAAAATGCTACTCCTCCTGGAGTTTTGGTCTGATTTCAGTATAACCTGGCACAAAAGTAGACTACACTACGTTACATAATTTTATCCATCGATTTTTTTTTTTATTTCGATGAACGGTGTTGCCGTGGTTACTAAAAATAGAAATTTCTGTGAAATACTTTTAAAATGCTACTCCTCCTTCAGTTTTGGTCTGATTTCAATATAACCAGGCACACAAGTAAACACACTAAGATACATTATTCTGTTTATCGGTTTTAGATTTCGATGAATGGTGTTGCCATGGTTACTAAAAATAGAAATTTCTGTGAAATACTTTTAAAATGCTACTCCAAATACAGTTTTTGTCTGATTATAATCAATGATTGAAATGCAAGTAGACTACACTGAGGTGCATAATTATCAGTTTTGTGTTTTTGATGATTGGTGTTGCCATGGTAACTAATTAAAAATTGAAAAATGAAAATTCTGTAAAATTTCTCTAAAAGCTTCTCCTACAGTTGTAGTCTTAATGCAAGACTTAATCAAGGATCATTATTTAAATTGTTGTTTTGTAAAGTTTTAGGTCAGAACTGCCACTTTTTTCTTTCTTTATTATAAGTACAAACCAATAGAGCTACAGTCTCAACAGAGACTTCTGCTTTTTTTCTATTGTATATAATTTTTTTAAATTGAATATTGAAAAGTAATACCAATCCAGGGAGCTCCAGGCACCCCAGGTGAGATATTATCTAAAGGCTTTTGCGAAAGTTTACCTCAATATTTGTTGTATGTTATTTAAGGGATAATAGCATCTATTAATTTAAAGAATAGATGCACTTATTTTATGAGGAAAACGTTGTTGCTGCTATTTGAGTTGGGTTAGCTAGAATATAAATTAGATCGGGATCGGGATATCTCAAATTCTCCCTCTTTGCTCTTGATCCAAAAACGAAAGGTAGGGCCTACACGAATTTTGTAGCAGACAGAACTTTTAAAAAATATGCTTTCAATCACGATTGTTTCTAACAAAAGCACATCACATGTGATAAAAACACATTATACAAAAATTAGGTGATGAGCACATCATTTAATAAATAATACAAGCTAATTCAGAGAATTCGTGTCCCCCGCTTAGGGAAAAAGTCGGCTCCCCCTGACTGACTTTGTAGAATTATTAAATGTATACATGTATACTGAAGCAAATAAAATACATGTATGTCAATATGCATATAAAGATTTGATTGCTTATTCTTCATTATGTGTATAGAAGAGTTTTTTTAATGCAATTTTTATCACACTGTAATGATGATTTTATAACCTCATAAATTTTTCATTTCACATGCTGAATACTATCATTTAGTAAAAAAGTATTTAAAAAAAAAAAAAAAAAAAAGACCGAGATTCGATCCTGGGACCTCACACATTTGAAGCGAGAGACATAATCACTAGACCACGGAATCGCTTTAAACGGTGTGAAGTACATGCAGAAGTGAAGTCACATACATGTATATACAGTGTATTCATGTTTTCATATTCGGTATATTCTCAAAATTTTACACAATCCATGGTGTTTGATTTATTTAACCTTTATTAAACAGTTCTAATAGATGTAATAAGAACATAAAGTCCGCCGAGAACCTGTTTTATACGCAATAACTCTCCCCATGCCCCTGCGCTAAAAATAGCGACATGTAATACTATAAATACTAATAAAACAAACGGGGCGGGGCTCTTTGAGAGGGGCGAGAGGCGTCCTAGGGAGTTTTGATATAAAATTACATTGCATAAACTCAAAATCTTCTTGAAATATCGCCCGGAAATAATAGTATTACACACAGACAGAATGTATAAATTTACGACCTTGAACTTTGACCTTTTGACCTCAAAATCAATAGGGGTCTTCATTAGGCCACAGGCAGTTGTTATATAAAATTTCATTGCAATAGCTCAAATGGTTCTAGAGATATCGTGTGGAAACGAAAGTGTTTTAACAGACAGCATTTTCTTATTTATGACCTTGACCTTTGACCTTTTGACCTCAAAATCAATAGGGGTCTTCTTTAGTCCATAGGGAGTTGCTATGCTAAATTTCATTGCAAAAGCTCAAAGGGTTCTCGAGATATCGCGTGGAAACGAAAGCGTTACAGACAGACAGAAAGACGGACGGACGGACGGACAAACCCAAATTAATATCCCCCACTTTTCAAGCGGGGGACAAAAAGTACATAACATTACGACAAATACAACATAATGATAAAAGCACATCACCAAATTATAAAGTACATAAAGAGAGCATTATTTAATAATAAAAGCACATATATGATATAACATAACGAAAACTGCACACCAGATAATAATTAAATCACTTAATATAAATGATAAAGGCACAACACATAACAATACATGCAAACCAAATATTGCAAAAAACACAACACACAATGATAAATGCACATCATAGATAATTTTGTCAAGATAAGACAGTCCAGGCGTTCCATATACATACCCCACTTTCGGTTTAGGGTCTGTAGGTTCTACACATGTAGAAAATGTTTCGTTTTGGAATACCTTTTATTATTAGTTGTTTATTAAAATGTACACTAGTATTGAACACGGATAGCAATACGACTTGTTTGGACTTTTATAAAATGAAAGGTGAAAGCATGAAAACAAAGTCATGTACTGGTGAATTCATTGTTTCTCACTGTATTCCAAATGTGGAACATCAGGAAGTGGACGTTTGTGTACAATGGAAATGGATTACACCAGGTAACAATTATAATATAATTTGAACTTATAGATACATCATGGTACTAGAGTTATTCTGCTTGATATCTTATCTGGGTTATCTGGGTTTAGATTGCATGCTTGTATAGACTTTGCGTTTTGTTAAGAAAAGCCAAAGAAGTTTTTAGTAATATGCATTGATAAAACATTAAAATAAACGAGTACATGTACAAGATTTCAACAATACTTATGATTGCTTTTTCTAATCGAAGATTCGGGGGTATATAGTTTCTGTAAACGCAAAAACTTTTAAATCTTGCAAAAATTTAATCTTGCACTTAACTATTGAATGGGTGGGGTTATGGCCTTCATTTCTCATAGGTGTATTCCTTGTAAAAATTCTATCTTTTCAAATTTGCGCCTTTACCTTAGACTTAATTGACCTACCATTTAAAAAAAAACCACCTTTGTCATAGGTGTGTGGGCTTTAAAGGGTTATAGACACAGTTTCAACAGATTTTTTAAAACCGATGTTAATGATTACAATTCCTAATTAAGGCTATTCAAATGATCAGCAAAATTTTTTTAAAAATTCATAATGTAAACCAGGCTCGTGCTTTGTTTTTGCTATATAGAAAATATATGTATAACAAAAATATATTTATAACAAATATTAATGTTTACATAACAAAGGTAAGAGATTCTGTCTCGACAACTGAGATTCAAATTTTTGATAATCATTAAAAATACCTTAGTTAAGTATTTTTAAGCACAAAAAATGGAAAAATAAAATTCAGCTTAAATTGTATCTTTGTCTCTTTAACCCTTCACATGTGTATTCATTGTAATAAGACCTTTTAATGGGTATAAATATTTGTGACCTTGACCTTAGAGTTTGGATCACTTTTTTAAAACCTTTAACCTTGGTCATGACTTTTGAACAGTTTTGAACTAGGACTTTCATATTTTGACATGCATTTGAGTAAATTGAACCTTCGCTATAAGTTATCATACGGGGGCATCATTGTTTGATAAACACATGTATCTTGTTTTGCTCTGCCATGATTAAGCTATACAAATCGATCTTTGTTTCTCCAAACTAAATTACGGGAGTATACTTTCATACGTATGAACGATGTTTACAATTTAGTTTCTAATAATTTATTTTTTTACTAAAAATATATGCATTGTAAAAGTAAAGGGAAAATTGAATTGAAACATCTTTGAAAGATATAACATTAATAAGATTATGTTTTTTTAAAACTTTGAAGGTTACTGTCCATATTACGATTCCACGTCAAATGCTATAAAAGAAGTACGGTGTTCATACTACTGCTTACGAAGGGATGATTTGAAAGATATTTGTAAGCTGAAACTATTACTTGTAATTTTTTTTATATGTATGATAATATCATGTATATGTACATGTTCATTTGATTTTATGTGTTTTTATCAAGGTATTTGTTCATCAAAATACGCTGAAAACGCTTCATGCAAAACCACGTGTAGAGACGATTTTAAATCCTATGATTGTAAGTACATGTATTCCCTATTACTTTCTATATTGCAAGGAGTTTAATACCACGAGTCTTTAAAGTATGTGTAAACACATTAAAGGTCAAGAAAACAAAAGAACAATAGGCGGGATAAGTGCATACAGGGAGCAGGTATCCCCACCTGACAAGTCACATCCGTTAATTTTGAGTCCTTTGTATTATAATTATTTTCAATAAAAAAAGTTATAAACATGTATGTATTTTTTTTTCTAACGGATACATTAGGCATTTAACTATGCATGTTGTTTCTTACAGGTGCGTTACAATAAGAAAAACGTTAGTCAGCATTGCTGACAAGGTCATTGTATCGACCATAGAACATGCGAAGTGGTGACTTAAAACGGGACTGTTGACATTCTTGTTTCATCAACTTGTTTGTCAATACCTCGTTTTAGAATTTGAATACGTGTAGAGCATTCTCTTGCGTATCGAAGTAACTGAAGAATTGAAACCCTATATGTAAGTAATAAGAGTATATTGTAGTATGTAGGTGATAAGGGTTTATTGTATAAGTACGGTAAAATGACGTTTAAATATTTTAATTCATCATCAAGTTTATCATCAAGCTTGATTTTGAGGTTACCATTAACGTCTTTTTCTAGAAATATATCCAAATATGAAACAGATGAGTCAGACCCTGTGGTATTTTTCTATTTCAAGCTTTCAAAAAACTATTGTTCATTGAAAATATGTCGTCGACTTATCTTAATGTCGAGTTGAAGGCCACAGCAGGTGATTTCTTTTGCACAAGTTTAAGACTTTCATTGAATACATTCTGCTTGAATACATTCTTCCAATAGATTGTTACATGAAAGAAGGGAAAAGACTAGACTAACCACAATGTACAAAATTAATGAATATTTCACTGATATAATCCCAAACTTACGCTGTGATTCATCTAGTTACAGTACGAGAAACTCGCAGAACTATAACATACCTAAATGCAGATTGCAAATTTAGAAGTCAACTTTCGTTCCCCTTGTTATTGATGAATGGAACTCATTACCTCTTCATGTAAGAAATTCTTCCTCGTTATCTTCTTTTAAAAAATCAATTTCTTATAATAAACAAATGCCACCCTCTTACTTCAGCTACGGAATTCGACGCTCTAATATAATACATATGAGGCTTCGATACAACTATGTGCTTAATGGCGATTTTTGTCCATGTAATGTAATCTTGAGTCCCCTATGTTCTTATGGAAGAGTGGAGGATACTCATCATTATTTCTTCTCGTGTAAAAACTATACAGAAGCTATTAAATTATTTTTTGAAAAATTTTTGCGAATGGGTAAATTACATACTGTCGATACTCACACTTTACTTTGGGGAGATGAAACGTTAAATGATATTGAAAATGAATGTACAAACTTTTATTAAAAAGTCAGGACGATTTGATTGATACACTAATTACTTCTTGTAAATTTTCTACAGCATGTGTATTACATAAGGAATGTATTCTATTGAATATGTGTTGCTCTGATTATTATATAATATATGTTTTTCTGTGTTAATCCATTTTTATCTGTAACCCATGTCTGTAAATATGTTTGGTATAATGCATTTGAAGTGAAAGGGAGTATGAAGTTTTTAGAACTTTTGCCCGATCCCAATTGTAAAGTATGTACAATAAAATATGTTCAAATCAACAGATTGTTGAATAGCCCAATCTTCAAAAACCTCATAGATTTTGTTTATTACATCCTCAAGCATATATAATATCAATATCAGAGTACTTACGTGTACAATAAGATCGTTTTTAGCTCTACTGGTCAGATATAAGATGAGCTTATGCGATAGTAATGCTTCCGGCGTCCGTCCGTCTGTCTGTCTGTCTGTCTATCTGTAAACAATATTTCAAAATGCTACTCCTCCTACAGTTTTGGTCTGATTTCAATATAACTTAGCGCACAAGTAGACTACACTAAGATACATAATTCTGTGTATCGGTTTTTTGGTTTCGATGAACGGTGTTGCCCTGGTTACTAAAAAAAGAAATTTCTGTGAAATTCTTTCAAAATGCTATTCCTCCTGCAGTTTTGGTCTGATTTCAATATAACTCGGCACACAAGTAGACTACAATAAGATACATAATCCTCTATATCGGTTTTTGATTTCGATGAACGGTGTTGCCGTGGTTACTAAAAACAGAATTTTCTGTGAAATTATTTCAAAATGCTACTCCTCCTACAGTTTGGTCTGATTGCAATATAACTTGGCACACAAGTAGACTACACTAAGATACATAATTCTTTATATCGGTTTTTGATTTCGATGAACGGTGTTGCCATGGTCACTAAAAATAAAAATTTCTGTGAAATTCTTTCAAAATGCTACTCCTCCTGCAGTTTTGGTCTGATTTCAATATAACTTGGCACACAAGTAGACTACACTAAGATACATAATTCTGTATATCGGTTTTTGACTTTGATAAACATTATTGCCTTGGTTACTAAAAATAATTAATGTGAAATTCTTTCAAAATGTTACTCCAAATACAGTTTTTTCTGATTATATCAAAATGTAGCATGCAAGTAGACTACACTAAGAATATAAAGAGAGTTAATTAAGGATCATTATTCTATTTATTGCTGTTGTAAAGTTCCAATTCCCAACTGCTAAAGTACTTTTCTCTTCCTTTGCTATATAAGTACAAACTAGTAGAGCTTCAGTCTCGACAGAGACTTCTGGTTTTAAACAAAATAATATTGCAAATGACCATTGAAAAAAGGGGGGAATTTACGAGGTCCATTTTTATAAAAAAGGCAGTTGTTAATGATTGCAAGAATCCAATTAATCATAAGGAAAGGTTATATAAGGAGTTGAAAACTCGTTATATCTGATGTTATTGACTTTGGTAAAAGTTTGTGATTTTAATTTTTTTGTATTACAATGAAAACATGGTCGGAAATTAATTTTCTTTGTTGAATTTTATACATAAACATATTGAACTAAATAAGTATAATTGTCATAATTCGTTACAGACGTCTTCTGTGAACAGGAAGTACTTTCGACTGTTACCGGGTATGTTTTCGATCTTCTAGTAAATAATTGCATATGTTATATATATACGTTTGTAAATTCGAAATTTATCCGAATTAATCAATCTGAATTCTGTTATAGGTCTGTTCCAACAACACTATCAACTACACAAAAATCTGTTACATATGATAAGGATAACAAGACAGAGGTGAATGAGGAGAGGGACACTGATTTTGGGAGGTTTGTTTATCCTTATGAAAGAAAAATACATGTACCTAAAACCTGTTTAAAGTATTTTTTCCAATAATTAAAGATTTATAAAGACGAAAATATGTCAAGAATCAAGGGCAATAATAGAAATATGATTTGAATATTGAGACAAATATAAAATGAAAATATTAAAATAAAAGTAAAAATTAATTCTTCACCAAAATTTCCTCTTCATTACCATTAAAGTTTTCAATGCATATTATTTAATTTATTGATGTCAACCTGTTAAGTATGAATTAATATTGTTATCATTTATTTCATGGTTATTTTGTCTGTGTAAAACAATAATTCAATTTTTAAAAGTTGAATGGATCTATTCTGTCACCATAACTCTGAGTAAAGATTATCTTTTTAATTTTTTTTCTGAAATAAATATGAAATTTGCAATTTTTTTTTATATTTCAGTGCTCTAGGAATTGCATTTGGTGTACTTATAACTATAATTCTGATGGTTGCTGCAGCAGTTTTATTAATCAAATATGGGAAAATGTTGGAAAACTGCGGAAAAGGTAGTTTGTTTTGCTCTGTGAACTTTTCTGTTCACCTTTTTGTTGGTCTGTCTTTCTATCTATCCTTTCGTCCATCATACATAGCTTTTAGCTCATGGCCTCTAATCTGACCCTTCCCTACGACATTGACTTCGCTGATAATTATCTTGCTATTTAAAATATTGTTTCATAAAATAAAATACGATACATGTGATTGGGGACTATTTAACGCGGACATATTTTTTATCCTGATCTTTCCCATGAACAATTAATTTCTGCCATGAGATTTTGTATGAAATTATCTGTTATTCTTTGTTTGATTACAGGAAATTGTTTATAAATCATCTCTTTGTCTTGTTCAAGCCAGATAAATCCTAGTCCACGCTCATAAAGTTTTTGTTTGATATTTACAACCCAATTATCAGAGTGTCTGCCGGAATATTCACATTCATTGAACAAATATTCATAACACCTTTTCAAAATACAATTGTCAGTTTTTAACAGCTTGAACCAAAATTTAAAAATGCGAAAAATGCGAACAATTTTCATAGGCAGTCTACCAGTTTCAACATAAATCATGGCAGTATTTGTGCTCCTTCTAACACCTAAAACATATTTAATAAAGTCCCAAGTGCACTTTTTCAATATCACCAGCATTATGTCCACCCCATATTTCACAACCGTAATTCAATATGCTTGCAACATAAGTATCAAAAAGTGGAAACATTGTCTCGGTATTTAGACACATTTGGTTGATTTTTGATTTCATTGAAAACATTGCTTTTCTACCCTGGATTGCCAACTGTTTTTAGCTCACCTGAGCCGACGGCTCAAGTGAGCTTTTCTGATCACATTTTGTCCGTCGTCCGTCCGTTTGTCCGTCCGTCTGTAAACTTTTCACATTTTTGCGACTTCTTCTCAAGAACCAATGGGCCAATTTTAACCAAACTTGGTACAAAGCATCCTTGGGTGAATGGCAGTTTAAATTGTTAAAATGAAGGGCCAAGTCTCCTTACAAGGGGAGATAATCAAGAAAAGACAAAAATGGGATGGGGTCACTAAAAAATCTTCTCCTCAAGAACCACTGGACAAGGAAAGCTGAAACTTATGTGGGAGCATCCTTGGGTAGTGTAGATATTAAATTGTTAAAATCATGACCCCCGGGGCTGGGGCGGGGTCACAATGGGGAATCCAAGTTTTACATAGAAATATCAAGAACAAATCTTTAAAAATCCACGTCTCTCGAACCACTGGTCCAGGAAAGCTGAAACTTATGTGGAAGCATCCTTGGGTAGTGTAGATATTAAATTGTTAAAATCATGACCCCCGGGGGTAGGGCGGGGCCACAATAGGAAATCCAAGTTTTACATAGAAATATATAGAACAAATTTTTAAAAATCTTCTTCTCAAGGACCACTGGGCCAGGAAAGCAGAAACGTATGAGAGAGTATCCTTGGGTAGTGTAGATATTAAATTGTTAAAATCATGAGCCCCGGGGGTAGGGCGAGGCCACAATGGGGAATACAAGTTTTACATAGAAATATATGGAAAAAATCTTTAAAAATCTTCTTCTCAAGAATAACTGGACCAGGAAAGCTGAAACTTATGTGGAAGCATCCTTGAGAAGTGTAGATTCTAAAGTTTTAAAATAAAAAAGGGAAGGGGTTTGTTGGGCATGATAGGTATAGCAAGAGGGGGAATCTGGTAAAGATCTGCATCACCTAAGTTACTCAGGTGAGCGATGTGGCCCATGGGCCTCTTGTTGTGTATTATTAAATTTTCCATTACAATTCAAAAGTACACTGAGATATATAAATTGGTCAACAATTTCAATTGGTTCACCATTTAAGTGCCATTTTTCTTCCTTACGTATTTTACCTCCGTTTCTAAAAATAACAATTTTTGTTTTCGATATATTAACAGACAGGTTCCATTTCGTAGAATAATCATATAGTGTATTTAACATTCTTTGAAGCTCATCTATCGATTCTGAGAAAATAACCATATCATATGCATACATTAAAACAAATAAATTCAATTCTTGTAAATCAACTGGCACATTTCCTTGTTTTAAAAACTCTAATTCAAAGTCGTTTACATATAAAGAGAATAAAATAGGGGACAGAACCTCCACCTGCAGAAGTCCGTTATTGTTCTTGAATAATTCGGATAGCATTCCTGCATATTTTACACAACATTTCATACTAGAATACATTGACTTGATAATGCCAAGTAATTTTCCCTTAATTCCATACAAACTAAGTTTGTGCCATAATTGTGCGCGTTGTACAGTGTCAAATGCTTTTGTATAATCAATAAAACAACAATAAAGCCTATTTTTCTTTCTTAATGATTGATTAATTATTGTATGTAGACAAAATATTGCTTCAGCTGTTCCACGTTTAGGCTGAAATCCGAATTGTGCATCTGAAATAACACAGTTTTCATTTTACCATTTTAACAATCTTTGATTTAAAACAGTAGTTAAAAGTTTACAAAAGCAACTGAGTTGACTAATACCTCTGTAATTATTTGTCTCGGTTGCATCACCTTTTTTAAATACAGGTACAAGAATAGATTTTGTCCACATATATGGAAAAATACCAGAATGGAATATTCTGTTAAATAAATTATATATAATAGGCAGCAAGATAGTTTTAAATTCAATAAAACACTCATTAATAATCAAGTCTGTTCCGTGAGACTTTTCTCTCTTTAACTTAGTAAGTGCGTCAAGTATTTCTTTATTAGATATTTCACAGTCAAGTTCTTCGAAAACGGCTGTATCGTCGTCACTCGGAATATCACTGACGCTGGCATTAACGTTTGTTCCAAGCTCTCTAAAATGTTCATAAAATCGATCAGGATTAATCACTGCTTGTTGTTGTTTATTTTCCTTACGGAAGTTCTTGTAGAAAGATTTTGGATTGTTTTTACGTAAATATTCTAACATGTTCCCTTCAGCATGCATGTAATTTCTCCGGAGCTTTGCGGATAGAGTCTTGTATTCTCTCTTTGATTCGAGCAATTTACGATGAGTATCCGTTCCTTTATTTTTGTTAAAAATGCGAAGGTCTGTTTTATACACGTGGTACTTTCTTTTCAATTCTGGTGTCACCCAGGGTTTATCAATGGGCGTTCTGCATGAGTAATTTTCTTTACTATACCGTGTCGCTGTGTTGATTTTAATTACCGTCTTCCTTGGAAGGTATTGTATAGTTGAAGTTTTTTACAGTCTTCGGACTATGCACTTCCTCTCTTTTGTGATTGGTAGAAATTGCATGATGAGAAAATTTTCAATTATTTCATTGGTTGAAATGCTGTTCAAGGCAAGGGAGATAACTTTCTTATGATCTATTTTTCGTACGACTTAACAATTTTGCAAGATTAATGACAAAACGAACAACAAAATCAGCAGTAATTATTTCTTAATAACATGATATTTTTTATAGCAATAAATAAAAAGGTATCTTTGATTTCATTATAAATAAAATTTGATAGTTATTGCTTGCAGACTTTACAATTTGTTATTATTCTTTTCCCCTTTCTTATTTGAAGAGTGAATTGGAATAAGCCGAGGTTTGCCGAAAGCTCTCGGTCAGTCAAAGTTTACGGAGATGACCGAGCGACAACCGTGGTAGGGCTAATGCCCATAAAAAGCTAATTTAGAAAATTCAAAAGAATTATACGGCCTGTTAAGTGTAGATCTGTTTACTGTTTAAAATTGTTGCTAAAGACGGTAAGCTTTTTTGAAGAAAGGTTCCATGGCTTTAGATATTTCTGTCGTAAATAAATCAATAGATCTATCAATAGTTTCTTGATTTTCAGTCTCCGGTAGTTGTATACAGGATTCTAATACACCTAAATGTGTTAAAAGACTATTTTTGGCTTCTTCTAGATACTCTGGCTTCCACTTAAATATTCGAGATTGAGTTCCTTGAGTATTTGCGTGTTCGATTATTTCACCACGTTTATCGAAATCTTTAATTTTTAACTGTACATGTAATGGAGCGTGATCAGAAAATGTCGTAAAGTTTGACACAATGAATTTTTCAATAAGATCAAAAACATCTGGGGTAGATATACAGTAATCAATAACACTTAATTCCCATAAAGGTGAAATCCAAATTTCTACTGTGTCTTCCGTTCAGTATTCTTAAACTGCTAGCCTTACATAGAGTCAATAGTTTAATTCCATAATCATTTATTCCTCTGTCAGGGTTAATACGGGTAAGTAATACAGAATCCATTTCGTACGACAACATTTCATTTTCTGTCGTCAGTGTTTGCCGTAAAAATCATCCATCTGTTGTACACGATAGCCAAAAAATGTTTACTCACCAAAATCAAACGTTTGCAGCACGCTTCTTAAACAAGTAAGACTATTCACATTTTGTACTTAGACCGTAAAGAGTCTTAATTTTTTATATACAAAAAGAAATCTGTCATTGAAGTAACAGTTTTAATGAAATAAGCTCAGTTTGACCAATTTTCGGTGGACGACGGTTAATTTTTAACTTTCCTCTTTTCCTTTTCCATTTAAATGAGTAAATCATGGTTATATATTCTAAGAAGAAGAAGTTTATGGTTTGACCAAATCAGGAAACCACAATATTGTAATAAATTGATGTTTTAAAATGCCACAAATTTAGTTAAAAATCACCTACCTGTAATGCGATAAAAAACTTTCATGTCTGTTGTCACAGTTGCATCTGTCGTCCCAGTTGCCGGTAATAGGGTGTGATCATAAGTGAAGATAAAACTTTGGAAACTTCTGTCTTCAAATTTATTGGAAAAACCACCATTTATGTTCCAAGATAATATTTTTTGATTTTCTTGCACTAAGCTGCAAACATTCTTCTGTGTGTCCTATCTGTGCCGTACCGTTTCCCAGTCTACGTCATCTTCTTGTTGATTGTCTTGGGGTTCCAACGGGTCATACTCTTCTCCGTCAATGATTAGTTTGTTTTTGATGAGTTTTGCTGTCTTGCCTCGTAACCTAGCTTCATTCAGTTTTGGTT